AGAGGTATTGGAAAGAATAGGAGAACAGAGGACTCTCTATGTAAGTCAACAAAAAATAGGCGAGATAGGTTAAGGTATCCACCTTCTCAGGCATGAAGGTCTAGTCAGAGACATATTAGAGGCAGAAACAGGAGTTAAGAGGGGTAGAGGTAGAACTAGATTAGATTACGTTTTGCAAATAGTCAAGGATGTGGGCTGTTCTAGTTTTAGGGAAATTAGCTCAGGAGAGGAAAGAGTGGAGGTACGTGTCCAACCAGTCTTAGGACTGATGACCTTATGATGATGATGATCAGGCTAAAGTGGGTAATAATATGATTATTTTATTATAAATGAGTGAGCCAGTTGTCCTGTGACAGGGCAGGATTTCAGACAGAGAAATCACCCTGTATAAAAGCTCAGTACAATTCACATTGCTCATTTTTTTTTTTTCGTTTACTCGAACATTTCGTAAAACAAATAAATTTGTAACATACGAAACGTTCTTTTGTTGTACACAGATATCTTTGCCCCCTTTTGTTGATATTTTGGGTCTCAAAAATACCGTATGTTTGTCGGAAAATGAGATTTGTTTACTTGAAGTTTTTGGGGGTGGGGAGGGAGTGAACGACACCAAAGTAAAGTGTGGTTTGCCGCCTGGCTCTCTTTTACTTTGAAATTGATATATTTATGCATGCGGGAAAATTAGAGTTATAGCTCTGGAACATGTGCAACGTTATTATGGTCCTTATTTATGTGAACACTTGTGTTTTTTTGTCACGACATGACATTTACACGGCATTTGTTGCCATTTTATATATTACTTAGCACATAAATAAATCGCCAAAGAAAATTGTTCAAAATGTCCCAAAAAGATAGCAATGTGGAAAGCTTTTTCTGTTAGATATAAAATTATGACTTAAATTAGACGCAAGTCGCTTTTAATTGATTTTTTATGATGGTTGTACTGCAGTATACACATGTGGCGAGTGGAGAATCGAACATAGGGGCAGTATCATTTTTTGAAAAATTGGAAGTTGTAGATGGAAACTTGTACACTTTTAGACACATTTTCATATCACTACATAGTATAAAACAAAGTCGCTTTCCTGCTGTCTGTCCCAATGTATGCTTAAATCTTTAAAACTGCGCAACGGATTTTGATACGGTTTTTTTTTAAAGATAAAGTGATTCAAGAGGAAGGTTTATATGTATAATACATGCATAATATAGTAGGGAAACACTGATAATTTTAGAGGTTTCTAATGTGATGTCGTAAATAAACACATTTTTTGCGCTTACATTGCAAACGCTGGCTGAACCCTACGAGATAGATCAAAATAATGTACTACAATATTGTACATCTTAAAAGGGTCTACAAAAAAGTCCGGGATGGTATATGTCTATCTCTTAGGGATAACCCACAATAACCATTTTTATCCTTTACTTTTTATGAGAAATAATGACTTATTTACGAAGCGATTGTAGGCAATACAGCATTAATTCTTATCCAATTAAGTACCTTAAATACATTGTGCATTTAATATAGATCAATATGGCCCTTTACAGCATGTAATTTAAATGAATATTTTCGAAGATATTACAGATTTAAAATGCAGGGACATAGCGGTTGCGGCGGTACCGGCCGGGAGGCCGGTTTGTATTGTCTAATGAAAAAAAAACTGTGAATGTTGTATATAAAGACATTCTGTAGTATATTTAGTATGTTCAGGGGGTATCTTTTGAAGATTTCCCCTTTTCGATAATAATCTAAACAAAACAAAAATATATTTAGTATCAGCATTGCACCCGTGCGAAGTTGGGGTGGGTCACTAGTAAATAATAAAGTAATGTGTAAGTCCAATCAATGCAAGTCAAAGGCTTGAGGGGGTGTTACGTTTTGTTCAAAAGAGTTTGGGAGTAAGTTTAGGGCATTTTTTAGAGAAGCAAGTTTTCAAAAAATGTGATTGAAAAAATATATTTCTTACGTTCACCAATTTTTGTGTTTTCACTCGTGCTACATAAAGAAATGACAAAGAAACGTATAATTTCCACGTTCGGTGAACGTTTTGCCTTGCCTGTATGTCGTGTATATTACGTGTGTGTTATGGAATATGAATTGAATGAAGGAGCATTTAAAATAGGACCTCTACAAAACGTTTCAGGACATCGAACTATTAGCAACACAGAGATTTATATTTAGAAATTAAAATAGGGATCATGTTTATTCACGGTGTTCATATTTATACTCATCTTAAAGTCGTTGAATCGTTCTTAATTAAACAGTTTCTTTTTGCAAAACAAAAATTCGAAAATACATGTTAATTTTTGAATTTAAATGCATGAACAAAAGATATACAAAAACAAAGTATAAACAAAAGATTCACAATACTATTAAAATCGAGCAGTTTCTTCTTTGTTTTTTTAAAGTATCTTTTGATGTTAAGGACACTCTGTATATATATGACATAAAAATTGGGAATAACTTTGAGGGAGATTGTTATTTACAGATACTGATGAACATTGAGCTTCATAGTAAATTTAAACGCCATTAATAAATAATAAAAATACTCCAAATGGTGATAAACGATAAGGAAAAATGATTTATTGCCAAAATAAGAAATCATTATTATTATTTCTCAATTTGAAAGATAGCAAAAAAGTTTTGAATCGAAGATTATTTTTGTTATTGTGATTTTGTCTGAAAGTTTTTAAAAATAATAAATAAATTACGAGTACCCTTACATCTTATTTTTTATTTACTATAACTGATGGATAGAAACTAATAAAACATTAATATTCAAAATTACGATCGAACCAAAAACATAAAAAAAAAGATTTTTACTCACGTTATGGAAGATGATGCAGTTTTTGTAAAAACAGTTAAAAACAACACTATCGATGATGCACAAATCAATATTTTCTTGCCCATTGTTTTCCTGCAAGAGGAATAATTAAAATCTAGACGTGAAATATAATACTTAAGTAATTTTCGTTAACAATAAACAAACACTAAAACAATTTGCTCATAAATGTTGTAATAGAGTTCTTAGTAATTGATATACTAATACGTTTAACACTATATGTAATTGAAAAGA